CGGAACACATTTCCATTCTAAGAGCTTTTTCACCTTGGCGAAGACATTGCTTTTGGTCATGAAAGAAGACATGGAGATTACGTGTCGCCGGAAACGACCCGGATTTTTGTGAAACACATGACAATGGATTTTTGTGAATGCACCGTGTATATGTGGTGGCTGTACAGGCTTTGCGTATTTCTCCACCTTGATGTCAACACTCACCGAGAATGCTGCCGTCACAATTCTAAGCCGGGACCCGGCCGGGCTGTTTGAATGAACGTAGAATAAAAAAAATGCATATCAAGAATATGCAAAAATTGTGCTTATCATCTTTTAAACGCTTTGTGTGTTTCGTTGTCTTTTTTTTATCATACGTTTCGTTCCCGCAAACTGCCCGACCGGGCCCCGGCTTGGAAATGTGACATCAGCTGCAGCATTCCCGAACCCTTGACAAATGCTTAGACCGGTCCGTATTCAGTACAGCGTCTTGTCCAAAAGACAAACTATCCGGTCTCTAACGAGTAACGCTCTCGTAAGTCTGTTTGCAAGCATCTGTCGCAGTTGTGCAATTACACATCGCAGGGGCGAGAGGTCGAGGTGGGGAGGTCTGCGTATCAAAATCGTGTGGAGCCTTGCGGCTCTCCCTGTCAGATAACCCGGAATTACCATTGTTCAACCTTGTCTACGCACCTTTCGGGAGAGACCAAAGCTATGCATTGGTGAAATGAATGCTGTTGATGGATGGGAAGGTGCTAGGTTTACGGGATGAGGCGAATGACATAATAGGAAAAGGTGGTTGTATTTGACATTTACTTAACAGAAATGGCAATAAAGGTGGTCCTGGTTTGTATGAAAGTGACACTCAAATGTTGCTCAACGTAAAAGCCTCAACCATGTTTCAGGACATTTGCTGTCGTCAGCAATGTCAGAACTTGGTTTTCCTTGTCGATGAAGGTTAGACATCCAGGTAATGAGATATACAAGAAAACTGTTACACATGCAGCTGGATAGATTCTGGAAACTGTCAGCCGTTGTACGTTTCGTAACATCCACTGTCAAAAAGTGTTTCATGCTACCTGAAACGTCTGACCAAAATCTATCCAGTTGCTTGAGTAACAATTTTCCTTTTTGATTTTACTAGACTTAAGAGCTGCACATTTGACAATCAAACGAATACGACCCTTTTCATATGACAATAAACGTACAGAACGACAGACTTGCTATCTGTCGGCGAACCCATCATGCACTGCTGCAGATAATGATAGGATATGGATATGGAGGAGACTTGAGTAAAGCCCGGATGTAGTCAACATGGCACCGAAGAAATCGCCGTGCCGTGGAGTCACCCGATCCGCTCACGGGCATGAACACAAAATAAAAGATCATTTCAGGCAAGCCTTACTGCTTCACAGACTGTCTTATCGTTGCTGGTTATAATTCACATTTACGATGAACTGTATATATAGCTCAGAGAGTTGGATAAACATAAGTTAGAAAAAGTGTTCAAACATACACGGAGGACATGCTGGGTTGTTGTGTGTGGATCTGGGTACTGCATTGTTAAAGGCATCAAATGCAAGTTCATGCAGCAAAACATGAGTATTTTGAATGAGGAAATCTGTCTGACGTTCACTGCCATTTCTTATCACAGTTTTATCATCATTTCATACTTGATGCATTTGAAACAGCCAAGAAACAAGCTGTGTGAGGTACCACCAATGAATACCAAGAACCATTCCACGATACGAAGCAAGTAACTGTTATCCGTTGTACTACCTCACAGATATCAGTGTGCTATTGGGTAGGGGTTGACTCGCATGCTCTATGCAACATCGAGTCGTTCCATACGTACAGTGTTTGTTATGTTGTGTTTATAGTATTTACGATCGAGCAATGTCCACAGTTTGTTTTTGAAAGAACTGACACTGCGCGCGGGCTGTATGGATATTGTTCTTAGACAACATGAAAACGTGAAGGAAATATGCTTGTTTGAAGCTGACAAAGATGAATTACGAGTCGCTTTACACGTGATGTAACTAGCTGTTTGATACGAGCTTGTTTATAGTCTTAAAACCCATGGAACACTCCCATACCTTCAATAGATTTTTAGCCTGCCTAAAAACGCTGAATACCATGATTATCATCTGTCGGAAGATCACCAATTCGACCTCTCATAGGAAAGCACACAGTCCCCACACCTTCTTCACTGCGTGGTTCGTGTGCAAATATATAAAAGATTTTCCCCCGCAGAGTAACATCTATGAAAGCCATTGTACAGCCGGCCTCTCCCCTGTTGCTGGCAGTTTATACCCGGATACGCTGGTATTTATTTTCCCTGAGTCGCAGCCCTAAGCTTGTCTGTGGTGCATGTTGTGCCGACTTACCGTAATGGAATTGGCAGATTAAGCGGCCCTTCCCCCTACCAGTGGTGAAAGACGTTTACTGCTGCCGTGATCGCCGTGGCATTACTGGCGCGGACCTGATTGCACCAGTGTGACAGAACAGGTAAGCCGTCTGATTGCCTCAGCGTGAGAAGCATTCAAACGCACCGAGCCATGGTAAAGGCCACGGCAGTGGATGTAATGCTGCCTGCCAGCTTTTTTTTTCTTACCACAAGCCGGGTTCCTATTTCTGAGGAACGTTGAACCTGTCTGTATCATGTGTGGTGTTTTTGAAACGCTTGGCAGAAGGCTAGTGGGTAACACGTGGCGAAGACATGTGGATATATTTTACTATAATCACAGCTGAGCACAAAGTTGTATTTACCAATGGTAGCAAATGCCAGAGAAGTCGGGTAATGTTTCTTTGTAAACAGTACAGTACCAATGGTAGTAAATAAACGTCTAGTTCGGTAATTTGATTTTACAAGTCCAAAACTACCGTACTTGACTTTTATATAATTTTTTATTAATACCAATGTTAAGTCGGGTACTGTTTACCAAATAAACATTACTCCACGTTAATGGAACTTACTGCCATTGGTAAATACAACTTTTACTGTGAACAGCTTTCTTTAGCCACAGTCTGTGTAGCTATACTCCTACTGATGATGTTACGGTAAATTCCAGGAATGTCCTTGCTAGTATTCTTACAGGACGATTCTATACCCCAGAAGCAAACACAGCCAAACTGTATTTGCTCATTCTTACCTCGTCTGTCACTCCTTACGACCAAACCCCACCATCATCCTTTATCAAGTAAGATACGTGTATGAAATACATTAAAAAAGATATCAGCGTCCTACCAGTTTGATAATATCGCGTACTGAGAAATGATTAACTGTCGTCAGCCGGCAGTTCCGAGTATGTGGAGTTCGTCTTCGACAGGTGTGACGTCCATATCAGTCTTAATAGATCTCCGCACGTCCGCCAGTCGACATTATTAACCCTGTGGGGATTATTGCATTAAACTCCCTCAAGCGGGAGGTGGTTGTGGCTTCGCGTTCCTAAGACGTGATAGTACGTCTCCATTAGGAGGGATATCGCCGCATTCCGTCTTTAAGAGCCGAGAGACTAGATTTGCACCGAGGTGGATCGTCCTTGAGTAGTTTTTAGATCCAAAGGGATCTCATTTCGAAAATGTCGTTCTGCATAGCGCATGATTTCGGACCCGTGGTTCCCGTTCTTTGAAGAGTAACTATTAGTATTAAAATCAGAATCTTTCTCAGATATTGCGGTTGAAAGATATCGTTCTACTCTTTGCTGACCATAGGGGTGGTGCACATCTCAATTTCTGTAGCCCATGAGCCACACAGTTTTGCAAGCACAATACACTGACATTGTATAATGTATTGTTGGCGGTGGCACTAAATATAAGTGTAACTTGAATGTGCCGTCGTCATGTACTATCAATAAATATTTAAATAAAAAAGCACTACAGCAGGGGGCTACCCTAGCCTGTTGGTAGTGTTGTGTGTTTGACCTTCCCATACTCTTCCTCATAGATACTGGCTGCTAAGCAGAGAAATCAGCATGTACCATTTTTAAAGTCTTTGGTATGACCCGGCTGTGATTTGAACTCACAACTTTCCAGTTACAAAGCGAGCACTCCTCCCAACGAGCAATTGCACCGATTGAAAGGCTACTGCCCTAGTTAAGCTTTATACCCTACAGGCCATTACTCTTTGGTTATCATTGTAGGTCAGTGATAACCAAACTTGTTGATCGCCAATGGTCAGATCCATACACTTGTGATGTGGTGTCATGATTAGCTTCCTATCATAGTTGAAAGGAATGCGCTTTCATTCATCTACGTGATCTTGGATCACTTTCTGAAAAATGACCCCAACTCTAACCCTTACGTACTCTACCTCTAACTCTACTGCCAACCCTAACCCTAGCCCTAAAAGGCACTATTTCGAAAAGGAGGAATGTGGCGGGACAGAGATAGTTTGTCTCCGAGTTTTCTCGGTAAAGCACTTCCCGGGCCGCACCTCTCGACCTAGATACCCCGGAAATGTCAAAGTACGGCTACGGTGAGAGATCACGTAACCCCCGGGTCTCATGCACGCCAACTATAGCAAGCCTCATTAATACCCCGGGTCAGCCAATACAACGCTACTTCTTCCAGGAGATGCGCGCTGCGTGATGACTGAACATTTAATTTTCCGCGTCACGGAGGCGTGTGTGCTTGAGAGAAAAGGGCCACCCGCAACCCCCTCTCTCCTACCGGCCGTAGTATAGACCTTTATTTTATTTACCGACTTAATACCCCTGTGCCACTTGTGTAAAGTTAAAATTTCTATCTAACACAAAGAATGGTTCTCACCTAGAGCTTAATGTAGGCACGTACACACACACACACACACACACACACACACACACACACACACACACACACACACACACATACACACACACAAACACGCGCACGCACGCACATGCGCACGCACGCACACTCACAAAGATACACAGATACAAAAAAAGATACACATACTATATTATAGTAGACACACACGGATACGTACGGACACACACACACTCTCTCTCTCCTCCTCCTCTTTCCCTCTTCCTCATAAACAAACAAACAAACAAACAAACAAACAAACACACAGGCAGCATGTCCACCTTTCCATCCTATTACACGGAGCCACTAGCAGGAATGACAACAAAGTCACCGCGCTGTACCACACCAAACGGAAGTTTCCAGCCAGGTCTAGATATCGTCCGTGTAAGACCGAGGTGGCCAGGCCCAATCACAACGTCTGTAACACCAACTAACTTTACACCCACCTGACCATTTCAACAGCAAATACTGCTACCATCAAGTGACTAATGTCAGGAGTTTTATATCCGTATCGACAGTAAAACCTGTGTTCTTTTGAAGATGTAATCCAAGTAGGTGTCGTTAGCGCGGCCTGGCCGGTCGATGTGGATTGGACATATGGTAATCCTGTAACTCCGCGACCATGAATGGAGAAGATTCGAAAAACCGATGCGACGTCTTGGCGCATTTATTTGGAGCTGAAAGGAAAGGTCGGAATGAGATGGGAGTATTGATCGGATTGATTTTCTGACAGCGCATATCTCATTTCGGGCCTTTGGGGCTTCATTTGTTTGAATAATAAACGATTACTTTGATAATGGTGATAATTACGCTGCTACTAGCTTTGGTGATGGTGTCCCTTCTTGATGGGCGGTGGTGACAAAGACCTTGCTCTAGTCCAACAGTTACAAGCAAGGTAAGCAGACATTCTACTAAGACCTTATCATGATTGGGTATATAAATGGTGCTGTATTCAACCAATACTGTCACAGGTTTAGTCCAAACCTGACGTTTTGTAGAGAATATAAACTTTTATTGCCCAGAGTCTACATAATACGACTTACAAACAACAAGCGTATCTCTCCAAAGACAACATTTTGCCCAGCTACACGTGGCACTTCTCCAAAGCGCAATCTTACATTTGTTCTACTTCTTATCATCAAATGTTCTTTAAAGAAAGAAATGATAACAGGTATGGTGAGTTGAGTAAGGTCACGTGTCCGTAAATCTCGCGGGATTACGTTCGGAAGTGATTGGTCATTTCGTGATTGGTCAAAAGTGGCAGTGGAAAATAAAGTTCAGCATTGTACTATGATTACTACCAACACAGATAATCTTCCATGATAGTAGCCTTTCCTGTATGCTCAATTCTCACAATCACAAATAGATGAGTTTCTATGGAGTAACATAAAGTCATTTTGGCAGTTAAGAAGCTCAAGTTGCAGTGAGTAACGTAAGCACTAAAGGAGCCGAGTCGATCAAAACGCAAAGTATCCCAAGGAAAATATCCCGTTATCCCTCAGGAGGAGTGGAAATCTTTAAACAGTTGTCTCCTCAGCCTCTTGGCGTCTTACGAATCGGTTGGTGTTCAAATTTAGCTGAATGGATGGCTCCTAATTTTCGTTCAATAATCGAGAATCGATAGGATGTGGCTACCATAAAATAACTCCAAATTACCCGGACGCCTTTCCGGGCTCGCACTAGCAGAGATTACGCCACAGAACAATTATTTATGGGTAGCACAACGTGGAAAACACAAATTGAAAGTGTACACCTCCTTATAAATCAACAAATAGATAAATGGACAGAGAAAACAGCCCACACAGAGGTGTGTCCCAAGAATGCCAACGTTTGGGGTCCAGCCCTTTTATACACAGAGGGGTTCGAATGAATAAATAAATGACGACCTTTTTGCACATTTTTGCCACACTGGGCTAGGTACAGGTCACAACAAAACATGATGAACAAATGTAGTTGACAGATACAAAATGGAACTAACTATCGTTACATGAATTCAACTTCTCGCTTTTCAGTTATTGTGGAAATAAAAGAACAGATGCTTTTTTGATGGAAGGTTTGAAAATTCATCGACTTTCATCTACGTGTTCGTAACGCTGTTTCAGTGACAAATAAACTTCGTTTCTGCAACTCAACTTATGTCTTTTCTGCAGCTAGATTGGTTTGAGTTGAAGAGTTTTTGAAATGATTTCTTTGTCCTTCCTTCTGATTTCCCCACAGGCGTAGAAAGCCATTTTACCTCATGCGAGAAACCATCCGACAAGATGTTCACACTGATACGTGCCGACATACATCACAGCGAGAGTGAACCTTGGTCCCTGAGGAGGTGCATTTGTCAGGCTTAATCTGCCTGTGTTAGGTAATGAGACGGTGGCCTTGGTTTCATGATTTCCCACTCGCTATGCACTAACCACTAGGCGGAGATCACTTATGCTACCTGTCTGAAGTGATTCAAAAAGAAACCATATAAATAGCACATTTCCTTATACACGTATGTCGTGTTTGAATTGGATATTATTCAAGCATACAGAACATTTACGAAAATAATTTCAACAGGTTGTTAGAACAAATGCTATTGGGATTTTCGTCTTACGCAGCCGGTAAAGTCTACCCCGTGATGAACCTGGACAATGGCAAGGGGTATACAAATGTAGCCACATTTGGGATTGGGCTCTCAACGCAAAAGCGCCACCTACGTAGCTACATAGGCTAGATATAGCAGTGAGGAGCAGTACTCCAGTCAGAAGCTCTGCCGCGGTAGATGTCTGACAGGCATCGAAGCGTAAGCAAGTGAGAAACATTACCGATTGTGTAAGAAATGAACCCTATATCCCGTACAGGATATTTCACCACTACTGCGCCTATAAGTTCGACTGAAATACTGCGATGTCAATAGTAAACCAGGATGACGGCTGCAACCTTTGACCTTTGACCTTAGAATGCTACGCAAGCGCGCATTTCAATTTCCGAACCGGCACAGCAGAGGGACTTTGTGACTGGAGAATCTGCTGGACCAGTCAACCATGTTGCTGGGACAACCAAGCCTCGAGAAGGTATTCTTAGACTCAAGGAATTCTAAAAGGTCTAAAGCTAAGATTCCTTCGTCTCTGTGCAAGTGTAGAAGCGAACGACACTTTTTCTGTCCCGTGTAATCCCGATTTTCACATCTTATACAATGGCGCGCCAAAATGTCCAATCATGTTCTTTTCACTGACGTTTGATATCTTGTGTAGCGGTAGTGCTGTAGTCTCTTGCCAACATCTAGCCTCCATTAGGCCTTCGTTCGGGGTTACAGACCGTAGAATTCGGAACTAGGAAATAATAATTAGCCAGGAGAGTCAGTACACGGGAAAGCTAAATTCTCCCTTCGAAATACGCGGGCAAATGAACTCTAAGGTAACCAAACTCCCCTGACCATTTATCTCTCGTCTCTATCTTTGGTAAAATTTTACTGTTTTGAAAGTTATTCTATGGTCATCTAATACGAGCGATCGTTGTTTACATCAATTGTTGACATACCCAAGTTATTGGTATACTCAACCGGTATGCAAATCACTCAACTGCCACCCGTTTTCTTTCACAAGGCAAATTATCAATCAAATTTGACAAATATTCATTGTTTTTCAGCAACCCACAGGAGTCTGATAGGGACTATTGGTGCCATACTTTCTATACTATCGACGTGCAAGTACACATGCACACTTGGTAAGTAAACATGCATGAGAAACTGACATAGTTCAATATGCAGTATTCTGTCAATCATCACTGGTTTATGGTCAGAAGGCTATACACTGTAAAAATTGTCATCCACAAGGTAAGGTGAAACATACTATTGATTGATGGTTTACGTTATGGGTTATGTATTCTTCTCCAACAGAAAGGCCTGAGATGGAATTACTAAATCTAACAACTGCAAATGTTTTATACAAGATAAGGGATTCTGTACATATCACCTTTTACTGTTGTTGTACTACGTGTTTCATGTTTAGGGCTTACCTTTGTTTTGAGTAATGTAAATTGCAACCAGGCCTTATCATCCATAGAAGATCTAGGGATGATAAGGCCTGTCTTTGGACCTGGATGTCCAGGTTCAAATCCCAGCATACTACTGGGAAAGGGTTGCAGTCCTTCGGATTGCAGGGCTCGAAATGTGCACCTTAGTGCCGGTAAAATTGAAGCTGTGCAGGTTTTTCTGATGTCTACCTATACCTATGTACTGGGTATATTCAGGTTAGTGCGGGTAGAATTGGAGCTGTGCAGGTATTTCTGATGTCTCCCTGCACCTCACCTGCACTGGTCTATGTATTAGGTATATGCAGGTACTAGGTTAGTACAAGTCAAATTGGAGCTGTGCAGATATTTCTGATGTCTACCTGCACCTCACCTGCACTGGTCTATGTATTAGGTATATGCAGGTACTAGGTTAGTACAAGTCAAATTGGAGCTGTGCAGATATTTCTGTTGTCTACCTGCACCTAACCTGCACTGGTCTATGTACTGGGTTACTTTATATATACATGTAGGTGTATATGGATTTTATTTGCTGCATTGGCTTTTACAACCCATGGGGTATTAAATAAATAATGACAATAGTTTCTGAACAGTTTTAGTATGATTCATACTTCCTAAATTCTGAATGGTGCAGGTAAAATTTGTCTGGTGAAGGTAATTTTCAATTTGCAGGTATGCAGATAAAAAGGATTTCGAGCCCTGGCTTGTAATGATAGGTATGGGCGATTCAGACATCAGCCCAATCTGATTTTATATAACATGCACTGACAAATTCATAACTCGTGCATTGATGTATATACAGTAGGAAAACCATCCAGAACTTAATAGACTTGAACCTGACTTTATTTATGGCACAGTAATGCATTTTTATGTCGTGCTCTCTATGATTTGTGTGCCAATCTGCAAACTTCGTATTTACTAATTTCCCCAAGGTTATAACTCCACGGAAATAGAAACTTGGTAGACTTGGCAAAGATTGTGATACATACATGGTTATGGATGTGGGTGGGAGTTCTATTAAAACTATGAAAGTATAAAAGTTTAGTCGACAATGTGACAATATCATTGGGCCATATCATCCTTGTTATCTGTTTTGTCACATAGAAATATGTTACTAAGGCCATGGTTGATTTGATTTGATTTTATGGATGACGAAAATTCATGCTCGTGCGGATGTCATCCATATAATCAAATCAGCATGGCCTTAGGATAGACATTAGAATGTGTTATACATTGTTGTCAGTATGTAGAAGGATTCCGTGAAGTGTACATGTGTACAATCGTGAAAAAATTACTTCGCTAAATATGGACTCCTGAAGGACACAACTTTAACCATTGTTCTGTCTCAAAACTTTAAGACGGAAAATGTTCTGTCTCAAAACTTTAAGACGGAAATCGTTGTCAGCATCAGCGACTTGGAAATAGATTAGTCCTTCCTCGGAGTGGGCGCGTCCTGATTTCCCCTGTGGTAGGAAACAGTGGTTCTCCGAAAGGCCACGCATCCGTCTTGTATTAATCAGGACAGCCAGTGTTTCCCCACGTATTGTAAGGTGTAATGATCTGTACCTTCAAGAAGTTGTTTTGGTATAACAGACGATCTGTCTAAGCTGGAAATGTGAGCTGTCCGCCAGCTTTGTAATTTGTCATGTAGGTAATGTTGTCAGCTGGGACAATCGACTTTTCCGAAGACATCTTACAGCGTGTGTTGGCACGATACATGCTGAAAGTTTTAAACATGGTAGTTACCTTGATCGTACACAGAAAAGTAGCCACATTTTCGGCCTACATGTTGCGATGTCAAATACCTTGCAGGAGGATGGAGCTCGCGATTGTTGAGGAAACAAACGCGCATGCGAACACATTTTTGAACTGGTCAGAGAAGGGGCTGAACTTGTAACCTCCATGCTCTGCACTGCAGAGCTTCTCCATGGCGGTTACTCATACAACCCCTATATATATTTCCGGTCAAACGAAAATGGAGTGCTAGCTTTTTCATCAGACACCCACTACTTCATTTTCATCATCAGGTAAGTTGAATAACTCTAATAAATCTATATACATTATTTGAAACAAACCTTTTTAAAAGTTGTGAGTGTACGACGGAATCATCAGGTCGGACGAAGTAAAACAAGTTGTAACTGAAAATCCACACGATGATGTCAAATAGTCGATACAAGTCTGACATAGTTATTTGATAGAGTTTCTGTCGGGGTCTTTTAATCTAAGATATAGTTGGCCTGTTTGCCCTCTTTCGCAAAGCACATGGAGCTATGACCTTTCCATACAGGCCAAATAAGCATGATCTATGACCTCTGTTTGGCTAGGCTGTGTCAAGGTGAATTTCAAAACTGACATGGCGCCGATCTGGCACGACACACCTGACCTATGACCTGGCCTTGACATGGCACCTGTGGGTCTAAAAAACACCGCGCGTTCAATTCTCCCGCTTTGTCTGTAGAACATCCCGCGGCGGGTTGTCAGATATTTTCCAGCCGTCCTGCCAGGATTTCTGCCGCGGCAGCACCAGGGATGTACTTGATTTCCCCCGGGCCGCTTGCCCGGTGCTAGTTGCCGTTTGTCATAACCGGTAACTGATCACCGTTGCCCATCCGTGTTGATTCACTTGCCAGGCGACATGTCGTCATCAATTATACATTTTCCGCTATCACTGTCCTGGTAAGGATGTGCTGGCAGCGGAGAGATTTATTTATCTATTTGTTATGTTTACTGAAGGAAAACACATTGTTTTTGCTCTGTTTCCTCTTCTTCTCCAAACACAAAGTCAATAACCTGAACCAGACGTCTGTCACCATGGTAACTAGTGGTGGTTTACATCATGTTGCAATTTTATAGCAAGAGGGAATATAATTACACTCCTAGATCCTGTCACCATATATATGAATGTGTGTAAGAATTAACAGCAGACCATATGCGAAGGTAAACATAATGCATTTATTATACTATAATGAAAGTTCATATGTGTTGGTAGTTACATGTTTACAACACCAAAAGTTCTCTCACCTAGAGTTTTCGACCAGTCACTCGGATCTTCCTCAGTAGACTGACCCAGTGAAGCTTGTCAGGTGGCTTCTTTGAAGTGTGGCGTCAACACTGGGTCAAATGTATCTGGTGCATCGGAGAAACAGAAAGGTTTCTGAAGGCCAGGTTCCAAGAATATACACGGCCAAGCTCAGCCAGTTCAGAAGTGTCACAACACATCCACATAGAGTCACCCGGACACTTTGTTTCACTTGACACTAAGGATTTTGGACACTGAACAAGACTTTCCTGAGAGGGGTTAAAGAGGCTGTATACATCAGGGCCCATCACCCTTCACTGAACGGTGGATGACTTCTATATCAGATTATAAAGTTTACTTACACAAGTCTTGGTTGAGCAATAGTTACCCGTCAAGTGTGTTTGTCATAAGGAATGACAGATAGCAGCGTTCTGTATGTCTTGTTATCAACTTGTAGTGCGGCTGTGCATCATAAAATCACTCCCATCTTCGTTCGTAGAAACTACAGTAGCGAACAGATATTTACGTTCAGTTACTTCACTGCGTCGTTAATTGGGTTCCTTTGGGTTGTAGACTAGAATACCGTATGTTAGTTTGAGTAGGGATATAAGACTTTATCGTCGAGCGACACCCTTTGCCATTAACTTTACGCCTTTCTCTGCTATGACTGCTATAAACCTTATGTTCAAGACACACTGTTGGCGGTAAAGTGTTTGAGTGCACTTACCCTAGAATAGGTTGACTTTTAGAAGTCATTTCGTTGTAACGGAGAATCGATCACAGAGCCCGATATTTAATTCGTCAGTTGACACCTCATCATCAATTGCACGTCCGCCTTTTGCTCTGCTGTCAACGTTTTAGTTAAGATTAAGTGGAAATGGAGTTGTGTTTCAGTCGAAGTACTTACTCCTGCCTTGCTTGACCTTGGGAAGAGGAAATGCAATGTTTCATAAATGAATCTGTGACTTGATTTTCATCCTTACTAACCATTAAGTAGTGATGAATTATGCATAAACGGTCGTTCTCTTTTGTCAAAGTCCTTGGAAAACATTCACGAAGGTCGTATTAAGGCTCGCCTGTGTTGTCTGATTCCCCAGAGCCCATGTCTGGGCAGAAGCGTCCGAAGTGGGTTTAGGTTGATGGATAGTGGACTACATGTTGTTTTTCGTCCCAGACGACACAGAGTATGAATTGCATGTCTAGAATTTAGTCCGTCCTGTATCTAGAGACATTCGAGATGCATGAATTTTCGTCCGTTCCTCAACAAATACTATAAGTCGTACAAAGCAGATGCAAAATGAGCAAGTATATACCGTAAAATGCCCAACAAATGTGGGAAAACAAATAAAGAATACCAACATCAATTCCAAAGGAAAAGACGAAAATTTGAAGAAATGAAAATGAAATGTTTATTATTCAACACATCATGTCTGTTAATCCATTTGTTCAACCTTCATGACCACGTAGATTTCATAATGAAGGCAACTTTTTTCTGCTAACCTTTTTTTATTCGCACGCTCACATCAGGTTTGGGGTTCCCTTTGGATTCCATCCATGTAATCAAATCAACATGGCCTTACGGTAGAATGCTATAACTGTAACATTAGGTAGTGGATTAGATAGGTAATATGATAGAGAATATCCAAACTAGAGGATCATGTACTTGTGTTGGTTT